TATACATACACAATTTTGTATGCCTTTTTTGAATGTTTATTGTCGTTGTTACTCACCGTTGTCATCACTCTTTGTTAAGAAATCTGGTCTCTCTGGTAGAGTCCCTGAGGCTCAATGGGATTAACCTGTCTAAATTAAGGTTGAATGAATATATACATATATATATATATATATATATATATATATATATATATATATATATATGTGTGTGTGTGTGTGTGTGTGTACAGTTGAAACCAGAAGTTTAAATAGACTATATAAAAAGACATGTATGTACTTTTTTCACAGTCATCAATTCAATTCAGTTTATTTATATAGCGCCAAATCACAACAAAGTTGTCTCTGTGCACTTTACAGGAACATTCACATACATAAAAGCCAATTAGTAAAGTTCTCTATCTAAGGAATCAGAATAAGCTTTTCCTGTTTTAGGTCAGTTAGTATTACCTTTTTTTTTCTTTTTGCTAAATGCCAGAATATTGAGAGAAATTTTTTATAAGGAAATATTTATTAGTTTCTTCAAAGTCAAAAGTTTAAATTAGGGATGCACCGATCCACTTTTTTTTTTTTTACTTCCGATCCGATCCTGATGCTTAAATCTGGATATCGGCCAATACCGATCCAGTTCCGATATCATGATCATCATTGATTTTATATGAGGCTGTAATAATCTCTCAAGTACAATTTTTACAAATATATGCATGCATGCATTTCCAAAAAGGCAACTTGAGGTAAGTTTTATTAATGTTGGATAAGTTTTAAAGTTATAATTAAATTCTGCTAACACAAAACATGTTTCTTTTTATTCCTAGCTTTAAAGTGGATATTAAAGTGATTAATTTAAGTGATTGTTTAAAGTTACTTTATTTATTTTTTAATAAGGGGCAGATATAAGTTTTTTCATCTTTCTGCACTCTTTTCATTCAATATTTTCTTTTTGATTAATTTGTTTTGATTCTTTTAAATGAATGAATAAATGAATTAAATAAAATAAAATGTTAA